CCTTAGGGCATTTCATCATGCTGTGGGTGCTCCACTTGAACCTTGAACTTGCCAATGAAATGTATTACTAGCCTTCAAAAGGAAGAGAGTGAGTTATAACACTATGTGTTTGAGTTTTTTAAATCGTGGATTTTATGAAGTCTTTTTTTGGCTAGAATGCAAGTTCTAGTATTTATCTATAAATTTCTGCTGGTGTTTTGTCCTAGGATCAGTCCTCTTCAAGAAGGATAAGGAAATCCCTGACAAACAAAACAGGCAGTTCCCCTAAAGCATAGCCCACTACAATTTCATTGTGATTTGTTGTTGAACAGTACCAGGCAAAGGCAAATGGAAACCTATAAACCCACCCATTGCCGCTACTACCCCACCTTCCCTCCGCATCACCCATAAGGGCGTCGTGCATCAGATAAGATACTTGCTCAAAGAGTTTGCTGAAGTTTGAACATACTGGACTTAAGACTCTCAAATCAGTCTGCTAAAGGTGAAAGAGGTTTTTAACTTTTAAAGCCCAGTAAATGTTTTCACTTGAAGATTAGCTCAAGAAGACGGTGAGCCTTCGTTGATAGAAACTATTTCAGTTTTAAGCATAGAATTCATCTGGGAATGAACAGTCTGTTCTGGGTGTTTCTAGCCTCGAGTCAGGAGCTTAAATGCTGGGCATATTTGCCAACTGAAGACCTAATTGTGAGTCTTTCTCCCTTGGTCTAAGCCTATATTAAAATATCACCAATATAGCCATCCATATACTGCAGACCCACTTACTCCATGGTTTTCGCATAAGTGGTAGGGATTCCTGTATTCTCTGGTTTTGACATCTTTTTCGGATAAGACTTGCTTCGTTTCCTTTGAACTCTACGGTTCTGTAAAATGTCTCCCCACCTTTTTTGTTTAAAATCAGTGCATTGTGTCTTAATTCAAGAGCAACATCTCGGGTGATAATTTCACTTTACTGAAGTCCCTCTTAAATAAGAAATCGTGTTTTCCTTGCTTTATATCTCAGGGTAAGACAGGGCATATTCTCCGTTATGCTTAGTCACTACTCAAAGTATTGAATAGCTTTGTAAAAATGGAATAGGAGTATCAGGGATATGATACCAAGCTGTTGGTTTTTTGGAAGGAAATTGGCTGTGTGATCTTTACCACATTGTTGGTTCCAAACATCCTAGGTACTCGATGTGATGTAACTAAGAAGCGCATTTAACTTTTAAAGTTATCCCAAAATATTAAAAACCTTCACCATCCTAATTTCTGGACAATTTCTCAGCACTGCATTTGAGGTTTCTGATAACCTTTCGGGTGAACAGTAAGAACAAGGGTCCTTTTCCCAAAGCGATGTGTATATCTGTGCTGACTATGGTCCCCATAGACAGGAGTCTTGGAATCCAACACAATGGAAAGAATCCCATCCAATACTGTGGATGACTGTGTGTGTCATAATTTAGGAAGTGCAGACGCGATGATGGCAGATGACACGGCTGCTGCCTGGCTATGGCGAATCATTTATCCTTTCTTAGCTTCAGGGTCTCTGCATGTAAACAGAGATCACGACAAAGTTCTCGGTTAAAATGAGGAAAATGTTTTGTCTGTAATGGCCGGCCAGGGCCAGTGACAAGGATCAGTGAGAAAAGGCTCTTGCCATCAAACCTGAGGACCTGGGTTTGATTCCCAGGACCCACGCGGAGGAAAGCAAAGAACCAACCTCCTCATACTTTCTGACCCCACAGGCATTCTGTGGCACAAATCACACCACACAGCCACACACCACACACCCACATGCCACACACGCAAACACCATGTGGATTTTTTTTTTAGAAAACTTTAATGGCCAGGCAGGGGCTAGTTTTAGAATTTCTAGTAAAGATTGCCCGTTGTCCTATGGTGCACCTTTTTTAAGGTTTCTTGTTGTTGTTATTGTTGCTACTGTTGCTGTGATGAAAGAAACTGGACCCCCTTCTAGCCAAGAGCAGACAGTGGTATGGAGAGGAATGGCCTCAAAGTCTTGGGGTACCCTGAGCTTGACCACCCCAGCATGACCACCTATCATCCTGTGGGACTGTTGCACTCGGCAGGAAGAATCTCTGCCTGCCGTGCTCCCGCCATCCTCCGTGTAAGCAGAGGAGCCAAGTCTGGGTGGGTTAAAAGGATTTAGCCTCTTGAAGTTTATTCTCCAGCAGACCCACGGGGGCATTTTTTCCCAGACCGCCCATTTACAATAAAAGACCTTCCTTCCGTGCATAATCTGATAGAGAATGAAAGTAGAATAGACTCCTTTGTTGGCAGACAGGTGAGACCCCACTTTCTCCTGTTGTTAAAACTCTGGGTTGGAAAAATAACTAGTGCTGCATTAGTAGTGAATTAGCCTCATTCCTTTTGTAATCGTTACGCTCATAATGATTTCACCGAGGATCCAAGACTAACAGCAGGGATAGCCCGCTCATACCGAGAAATTCTATAATGTTAATAACATAGCACCCAACAACTGGATAGCAATTTTCAATTATCCAGGGTTCTTTCATGAACCTGATCCCATTTGAATCTCACAGGAACCAAATAAGATTGGGAGGCTAGCTATTATTATTCCTGTTGAATACAGGAAAAGGTGGAGATCAGAGAGGGTGATTCTTGCTTAAGGTTATTTGGACTTTCCGACTCCAAGTGTTTATCCCAGGATCCCCTTCTAGGGGAAAACTCTGGAGTTGCAACAGATGCTAGAAAAGGTACTTTCCATATAACTGTGTTTACAGCAGCTCTATAAAACCCATAGTTTTTCATTTTATGTATGAGTGTTTGGCATAGCTAAGCACTGGCCCAGCTTGACCTAGACGATGCCAGTGGCAGTATTTACAAGTTTCTGCCTTTAAAACGTGTGCTTCCTTTACTCTTCCAAATTGTCTCTACCCTGGGTACACAGTGTGTGTGCACAAGCGCTCACCTTAGACCCTGTGCTGTGTGTGCATTCTTCCACTCACCTGATTCTTTCCTATCTCTCCAGACACACTGCAAACACAATCACTGCTACAGAAACTCTCGTGTTCGTGTGAGCCCCAGCAGTCCCTGGGTTTGCTCTTGACACACCATGGTGGAAAGCAGAGGGTTGAGAACTTCAGGACTACCCCCTACCTTGCAGGTTGTCCCCATGGCTTTCACCATGAGACAATAGATGCCTAAGATCAAGAATTCAACCCCTGGTAGCACAGGGTCACAGCTAGAGCTGGGGGCACAGAGCAAAACTGGGAGACACCCAGCCTCTGACCCACCAGCTGCGTGTCCTCAGGCTAGCAAGGGGCTTAGCTACCCTGGCCCTCAGACTCCTCATTATAAAAGTAGGGGGTGTGTGTGTTGCTTTTCCCCTGGAGTTGGATGTCACCATAAAATGAGTTCCTTTTGAAAATACCCAGTTCATAGTAATAGTCATAGCAAGCATTATTTTTTGCCAGTAGAAAAATAAATAGTAAAAATGTTATTTTTTTATTGAGCTCAATAACCAAATGTAAACCCTTCCCTGAGTCCTTGGGAGTGTTAACACCAAGAGAATGTTCTCAACATCCAGTTTCAGGGGAGGGGGGCTCCTTTTTAAGGTTACATGCTGAATGTGTTTGAAAAGAAGGCAAAAAGTATGGCTGAGTACTCTGGTATCTCATCTAAGGAAAGGGTCTCAAGGAAGGGGGAAAGCAAAGACTGTTTTCCTTTACCCACGCCGAGGGACCCCCTTATTTAAAGGGACTCTTGGGGCTGCACCGTCCTTCTGTCTACACTTGTGCATCAGCCTCATAACAACGTATTGGAATAACATCTTCTCCCTTTTTCTTAAGACTGTGAGGGTCTTAAAGGCAGAGGGCATGCAGTAATTCATTCTACACTCCCAGTTCCTAGAAGAGACCCTGGCGCACAGTGGCTCGAATTTGTTGACCCACTGCAGGAGCGGAAGGATAGCTGAGTGGGGGCATGTTGTTTCTTCTGTAGAGTAAATAAGCATCTCTGAATTCCGTGTCACTCAAAATGTCCACACTTCGGGCTCTTGGTGGCCAGGGTATGCCCATTTTCATAACCCTCTAATTACCATCCCATAATTCATGTACCACACAAATAATTCATTGATGATGACATATGCCCAAAGTTTTTGGCTTTACTGGTCAGGCTCAAATTAATAAAAAGAAAAGCATACCTCATATCCTTCTGTGTGTATTATATTCTTTGCCAAGGGATGGTAAAATGGCTGTATAAGATTTCAAAAATATACTTCAAAGTGTTAGCACTCACAATTACTGGGTTCATATGAAACCATTCAAGACAAATGCTGGGGTTTCAAAAAGTGTCAAGTTATACAGCACTTCTGTGTCGGAGGGACTTGTAGGCACCCTCCAGAACACTTAACTTCCCTTCTACGTGAGAGAAAGTGAGACCAGATTGCCAGATAATTTGCTTGAGTTGCACAGCTTGCCAGCCACTGAACTAAGCCTGCCTCCAGGCCCCCACTTTCTCAAGGCTGTGCCTTCTGAAACCAGGGCCAGGATGCTCCAGTCATGTTGATCCTGGAAGGTGCGGGCCTGGCCCTGCTGGCCCCTGATGGCCAAGGCTGGGTGGGACTTAGGAGTACCAGGCTGTGGCAGTTGGCCTGGGCTGACGGCCAGTGGGGAAGAGCCCTGTGGTCTGCATTAAGGCTCCAGTGCACACAGTTCGTTCTCATGTCGCTTGACTTTTAAGGTGTGGGAGAAACGCAGGTCCGCTGCTGGAGAGGGGCAACGTCATGGGTTCCCTCACACATCCTAAACCTTCATAATATCCCTCTGTGGTTTCCACACATTTTGAACTTTAAACTTTTAAACCTCAATAAACTATATTAGGGGCTTGATGGAAACAAATCTTAGTAAGTATTAGATTCTTTTTTTTTCTCACTGTGAATTTGTGTGTATAGAATAAATCGTTTAAACTGTGCCCTGTAATATTAGACATTTTTGTTTTAACAAGTTTAACTCTTGCCCTTTTTTTTCTGCACCCAGATTCCAAAGATTCCAAAGAGAAGAATAAAATGGAAATCTTGTACATCCTGGTGCCAAGTGTGGCCATCCCGCTGGCCATCGCCTTCCTCTTCTTCTTCATCTGCGTCTGCCGCAATAACCAGAAGTCGTCATCACCGCCAGTCCAGAGGCAACCAAAACCTGTCAGGGGACAAAATGTAGAGATGTCCATGCTAAATGCATACAAGCCCAAGGTAAGATGAACGGTGCGGTTCAGGGGAGAGCAAACTACTGCAAACCCCCACCACACCCTACCCCACCACACACACACACACACACACACACACACACACACACACACACACACAAAACACTGGAGGAGCCACAGGCAGAGTTCAGCAAACACAGAGACTAACCCTACAACTCTGCCTCTGCCAGAGACAGCTCAAGCTTCTGCCCCAGGGTGGGGCAAGCTAGACCACAGCCTTACACTGGAGCAGTCGGGCCAGAGAGGCTCTCTGCCAGACCCACAGGGCTCAGAGTGGGAACTGGTTTCCAAATTCAAAGGGAAATCCATGCTCTTTTAACCAAAGTGAGAGAAAAGAGATCTAACATTGTTTACAAACTTGTCTGTTTTTATGGCACATGAAGTAAATATAGAAATCTGTTATGCTATGTAATTTTGAATGACTAAGATGGTAAATTATATGTCATGTGCTTCTTATTACTGTGATTTATTTTTGAAGAAACCTTTTTTATGCCTTTAATAGAAAGGTTTTCCTCCTGGCCCTCTTTGAAGCCGTTGAATGGTTTCTCACCTGAGCCTCCCCCGACTCTGCTAGATCAACCCCTTTTCTTGTTACTTTTCCTACAAGTCTTTCAACGCTTCGGTTACTCAAGGTCGTGGTGAGGATCCCAGGGTCACCGGCCTTGCTGTGAATGCAGCTGCTATTCTAAATCCAGCACTGTGGTCCACAGCACTCCCTCTCAGGATGGACAGCATCTCGGTCCAAGGCCCTTCTACAGAGCCTCATTTCGCCAGCTCCAAGTTCACGCTTCCAAATGCTTACCTTTTCATCTTGTTCCAGCTCCAGAAGACCATGCATGCCGCAGATCCATCTGACTCCTCTCTGTGTTAGACACCATATTATTCTCTTGACCTTCATGATAAGATTTAAGGAAAAACAATGTCTTCAAACTCAAACTAACTCATCTCCTTGCTTATTAAGTAGAATGGAATTATGGAGACTATCACACCTCATAAGATTTTATTTTGCTTAATGCTTTAGACTTAGACTTTTTTTTGAGTCTTCCAAACACGTCTGCAGTTACAAAGTCATATTTGTTGGTGAAGTTTTCAGGTTCTTTAAATGCCAAAAATTCACTTTCAGATATTGTTTCTTAAGCTAAACCAGTGCTCATTAGTTAAGCATGAATTTCTACCACTGTATATACATACATATTGCATGTCCTAGAGGTAAGTTCATGTGGTATAGACGGGGGTGGGGGGGCAGTCAGGGAAAGTAGAGGCTCAATGCTTTTAAAAGTCTAGCTTCTGGCTGGCTTGTTTGAATGCATTATAGTCTTTAATGATATACCACACTCAATTCTTACTGTTTCGTACTACTATAAGGGTGAAGGAAAGAGAAGGGGCTGTTATGGGTGCATATTCTCAGACTAACAGTAGGCTTTTTGGATACTTTTAAATATGCTATGCCTTCAAGATTCCTGTGCAACAGCCATTGTTCTAAGAGGTTCTTTCCCTATTGTTTCTGTGTCACTCAAACAGTTGATAGCAATGGACACAGCACGCAGTAGCTAGCCTCTGTCCTAGGGAATCAGTCCTGACTACTGTACTAGAGTCCATGGAAGAGGGACTTCCATTCATATATATATAATATATACTATATATATATTAGCTTATCCTTGCTCATTATCTTAATTCCATTCTTGCTTGCTTGTAATTCAGGATCTCTAACAGGCAGGCATCTCGGAATTAACAGTTTTTCAAATAAAGAATTTAGAGACCTCTGCGACATAGAGAATGTTAATACATACTGATTAATATAAATTACCAAGATGTATGTACCGGAAGCTTTTTTTCCATGATCACATTTGATCTTAACAGGCATTACATAAAGTAGATACTATTATGCTATTGTATAAGTAGGGCAACTTAGACCCCCCCCAGCAAAAAAAAAAAGCCAAGAAACAAAAAAGAAAGAAAGAAAGAAAGAAAGAAAGAAAGAAAGAAAGAAAGAAAGAAGAAAAACAGATGAACTATTACAGTCAACATCAAAGGCTTAATAATCTATGTAGATAAAATGTGAACAGATTTTCTGATTCTAAATAAAATCTTTGGACTTACTAGCTCATAAAGGTTTTACAAAGTATTCATACACAAAAAGTGGGAAGGATCAGCGAGTAGCCACTGGATCCACTTGACAGTCTATGCCTGGATAGCCAGAGATAGCCTGGCTTCTAGAAAGCTGGCAGTAACCAGAATTACAGTCAGTCACAAGCCAAGTGATGTACCGCAGCCCGGGGAGGAACATGTAAAATTCGGCCAGAGTAATAACCCTTCTCCACCCTCCGTGATCAAAGAGACAAATGTAAGAGGTATTGGCATGAGGCTCCATGGGACAGACATAGTTTTCATTGTTTCCAATGTTTGACATATTCCTTGCAAAATTTCCCAGTGTGGAGGTTTCTCCAGCACAGGACGTGGAATTTAGCCACAAATGGCTCACAGGCTCTTCTGGACCAAACCAGCAAGTAGGGCTGGCTCAAGTACTTGACTGGGTTGGGGGAAGGAAAAAGAAGCAACAAAACAAATCCTATCTCCCCCACCCCCACCCCCAAGGGATTGGGCTCTGAGTTGTTTGCTTTGGTTCTTACCAAGTGCCTTTCCTGAAAGAAGCACAAAGGACTTTGTAGACCTTCAAGAAATTTTCTAAATGTAAACAGTCAGTCTCTAAGACTTCTTTGAAAGGTCACCACCACATAAATATTGCATGTGCCTATAAAATCTAAAAGGAAGAGACACTCATAAGAAAGAATGAGGAAAGGCCTGAGATCAAGCAAACAATGAGAGTAAAACGGAAAGGCTTTTTGGAGCCAGGCGTGAAAAGGGATTGAGGGGTCGATGCCGGCCTGCCCTGGCCTTCCTCAGACTTTTCCTTGCCCTATTAAAAAGCCAGGGACCCCCAAGTTCCTTATTCATCCAGCCGCGTGTGTCTTTCAGGGTGGAAACTGTCTGTCTTCATCTTTCCTCACCAGAGGAACTTCTAACATTCCCCGTCAGTGTTTGGATTAAAGAGAGGCTTCCCGGGGAGATTAGAAACAACCCCTTTTCCCAGAAGACAATAAGCAGCCACAGCAGACAGACTGGCTGCAAGGTGGGCCTGGGCCCTGGAGCGCTAGGGTGGGATGCTGCAAGAAGAGGCTCTTGATGGGTCCCAGTTCATCAGAGTGGAGGCTTAGCAGAGGCGTGGGCGGACAGGAGGCGGACCTGTCTCCCTGTGGTACCCTCTTACGGCTCAGCACCTCTAAGAAGCCACGAGGCCTTCACCTGTTTCTCAGCTCTTCGGAAAGAGAAGTAGGCTATGTTTGCTGTCTGTTATCCTTTTTATTTTTTAAACAAAAGATTTCAAGCTACTTAATTTTTTAATGGGTTTCCCAGGGGTGCCCAAACTAAACAAGACTTTTCTGTATTGCACTGTGAATTTTACAGTTTAGGGGAGTTTTGCTTGTTTTCTTTCTTGGGGTGCTTTGGTTTGGTGGAGGACTATAGAAAACGAGGAACCTGGAAACAGACTTCCCTTCCCTCTGTCTCTTTTCCCTGCCTCCACTCCCCCAAACCCTCACAATGCTCAAAAACAGACCGTCCTGTCTCATGAGTGGAGAGACAGTCTGTGACATACATCCCTCAGCAGGGACAGAGGACATTGAGCCTTTGGCCTCCTCGCCTACCTGAGGGTTAGCTAGGCAGGTGAAGAGGCTGAGACATGGGGAAGTTTAATGATGACCCAAGAGAAGAAGAGCAGGCCTAGGCAGGTCACAGCCTAAGCCGCTCCAGGGTCAAACTCCTACAGTTCCCAACTGTTGGGAAGAGCTGCCCCGCCTTCTGACGCGGGTAGCTTCAGGCGACCTCACCCTCATAGCTTGCCTGCTGCTCTGTTTTTTTTTTTAAACATCTAAACTACACTTCTGTCTGTCTTTCCTCTTCCACTAAGGTGGTGGCCGAATATACTGAAGTGTGTCTGTGTGTGTGCATATATATGTGTGTGTGTGCACCCTTGTATATACATGTTTGTATACATCCCCGTCCCTTTTTCCAGGTCTCCCAAGCCCTGCTATGGTCTGGCTGCCCTCTTTTGAACACCTGTCCTTCCTGATGCCACGTCATTTCTGTCCTCAATCGCTTTCCCACTCAGGCTGGAAGATAGTTCAGCACTTAAGAACCCCAGCTGCTCATCCAGCAGAGCTGGCTTCAATTCCCAGCACCCATATGGCAGCTCAACCACCAGTAACTCCACTTCGCGCATCTGATGCCCGTTTTTGGCTTCCATGGGCACCAGGTGTGCCTGTGGTGCACAGACATACATGTAGACAAAAATACCTATACACTTAATGGATTTTTTTTGTATACTTGTCTATTTTTTAAGGAAAGCCTTTCCCACTGAATCTCCCAAAGCTCCTGAGTTCGCCATCCTATTTCTCGGCCTTCTGGGGTTCACGGATGGTGTGATTTAATGCAGTGGCCTTCTCCAGGGCCCCATCCTCTTAATGCCTCCGAAACACCTGAGAGTCCTAACCACCATCTTGAGATCCTTACCCACTGGCTTTCTTCCTGTCTCCTTTCATTTCCTTTGCTACTGATTCCTCACTTCGCTGGAGGGAAACATCTCTTTTCTATTTTCTCTGCCTCATTCCATTCTCTGGCAGGCCTGAGCTCCTCCAGGGTAAAATGACTCACCAACTGGGAAGGACCAATCTCACACTATAGAGTTCAGGCCGGCACCCCAGAGTCCCCACGGTCTAAGCCTAGCTGCCGTAGCCACATTTTGCTCCCAGCCTATTGCCAGGAGGTAGTCGTCTGATAGCCTTCAAAGAGCCAGGATTTGGAGGTAGAAAGATTGGATTACAGATCTTGGCTCCATTATCTACTGGCATGAGATCTTAAACAAATCATTTACTCAACACTTCTCCGAACCTTTATTTTCTCACCTGGGAAGGAAAGGTAAAAATAGTA